AAAAGGTAAAAACAAGAGAAAAAAATTTAAAATGACAATAAATACAAAAAAAAAAAAAAAAAAAAAAAAAAAAAAGACATTCCATGCTGAGAATGACAAACTTGTGATCTGTGTGTAAACACTCCTCAGCATCCTGGCAGACACCGTTAATCAGTTGCTGTACTCTTTGTAGTTAAGTTTGAAATCCTCAACACACACCACAGAGAGCCACAGGATGCTGGCACTAAAGATGAAACTTATTTCCTAAACCTGCTCAAGATGTTCAGTCAAAAAACCTTCCCAGTAGGAGAGCTTCTTATGCACAAACTGCTGGGCTATGTGGAAAAACACAGGCTGACTTTCAAAAGATTGTGAATGCATGCAAATTCTTCAAAAGGAAACTGGGAAAATAATAATACTGCAGATTATATTATGATTTGGTGGATGGGATACATTTTTAAAAGCTAAAAGCCATTACAATCTAGAATTATTTCCATAGTGGTAATACAGGCATTAAAAAAAAAAAAAAAAAATACAGTCACCCATTTAAGGAAAGCAATCATTACAAAAGCAGCAAAAAATTGAAACACCAGTTCCCTCAACTGCAAAGTAGTAGATATTAAAGTTATCTGTAACTGCCAAGTTCATGAGCTAGTATCAATAATTTATTTATTAAGTTTAAAGCCAGAGATGGATAAGTTATTAATTTTTTCTAAGTAGATGACAAAACCCTTCATGGTAACTTTTATTAATATTTAAAAATGTCTCTAAAATTAAAGATAGTATAATTCTAATTTTTTAATTTTTAAGACTTCAAAAAAATTTATCATAATGTGATTTGACCCAGATCCACACAAAGTAAAAAAATCCTAGTATGACAATTACATACTAATGACAATAAACACTAAGCAAAATTTTATTTTGGAAAGTTAACCCAAAAATATTCTTTGAGAGGAGATGAATGTATATTTCAGGAGAAAGTAGCTTTTGTCTGCTGTAATTATGTATTATATAAGTCTACTAGAATGTTGAGTCAAAGGTTGTATAATAATACACATCAGAGAAAAGTACATTTCAACTATTCCAGCTTGAATAAAGTTCATCCCATATTTCACTCTGATAATGAACTCTACTATGTATTACTGTTATTAGGTGCCATCGAGTCAATACTGACTCATAGTGACTCTATGTAAAACAAATTGAACAAAAACACTGCTCGGTAATGGGCCAACCTCAGAATTGTGGCCGTGCTTGAGCCCATTGATGTTGGCATTTTAAGAATCCATCTCACTGGGGATCTTCCTCTTTTTCTCTGACCCTCCACCTTATCAAACATGATATCCTTCTCCAGAGAGTGGTCCCTGCTGACAGTAGAGCCAAAGTTTGAGAGACAAAGTTTGGCCATCCTGGCCTCCATGGAGCACTCTGGCTGCACTTTTTCCAAAACAGACCTGTTGGTTCTTTTGGCAGTCCATGGCAGTTTCAATACTCTCCTCCAACACCATAGAACAAAAGTATCAATTCTTCTACAGTCTTCCTTATTCACTGTCCAGCTTTCCCATGCATATAAGGTTATTGAAAATATCATGGCTTGGGTCAGGTGCACCTTAGTCCTCAAGCTGACATCTCTGCTCTTCAACACTTTTAAAAGGCCTTGTGCAGCAGATTTGCCTAATGCAATACATCATTTGATTTCTTGACTGCTGCTTCTATGAGTGTTGATAGTTGATCCAAGAACAATGAAGTCCTTGACAACTTTTCTGTGTTGATCAGAATGTTGTTTATTGGTCCAGTGGTGAGGATTTTTGTTTTCTTTACACTGAGATGTAGTCCATCCCGAAGGCTGTGCTCTTTGACCTTCATCAGTAAATACTTTAAGTCCTCTTCATTTTTAGCAAGCAAGATTGTATCATCTGCATATTGCAGGTTGTTAATGAGTCTTCCTCTAATCCTGATGTCACGTTTTTCTTAATATAACCCAGCTTCTCGGATTATTTGTTCAGCATACAGGCTAAATAAGGACAGTGAAAGTTGTCTCATACCTTTCTTAATTTTAAAACATTCAGTGTTCCCAAGTTCTGTTCGAACAACTGCCTCTTGGTCCAAGTACAGATTCCTCATGAACACAATTAAGTGTTCAGGAATATTCATACTTCCCAATGTTGTCCATAGTTTATCATGATCCACACAATCAAAAGCCTTTGTGTAGTCAATAAAGGACAGGTAAACATATTTCTGGTATTCTCTGCTATCAGCCAAGATCCATCAGACATTAGCAATGTTATCCCTCATTCCACGGCCTCTTCTGAATCCGGCTTGAGCCTCTGGAAGTTCTCTGTCAATGTATGCTTGCAGCCATTTCTGTATTAACTCACATTTCTGGAAGTTCTCTGTCAATGTATGTTTGCAGCCATTTCTGTATTAACTCACAAGAGATTGTCCAATGATTTCTGCATTCTGTTGGGTCATCTCTCTTTGGAATGGGCACAAATATGGATCTCTTCCAATCAGTTGGCCAGATAATTGTCTTCCAAATTTCTTAGCATAGATGAGTGACTGCTTCCAGTGCCACTTCACTTTGTTGAAAGGTTTCACTTTTTATTCCATCAATTCCTGCTGCCTTGTTCTTTGCCACTTCCTTCAATGCACCTTGGACCTCCTCCTTCAGTATCATTGACTCTTGATCATATGCTACACCTCTTGAAACGGTTGAACATTAACCATTTCATTTTGGTACAGTGACTCTGTGTATTTTTTCCATCTTCTTTTGATGCTTTCTGCATCATTCAATAATTTGCCCAGAGAATCCTTCAATAATGAACACTGAGGCTTGAATTTTTCTTCAGTTCCCTTAGCTTGAGAAATGCTGAGAGTGTTCTTACTTTCGGTTTTTGACTCCAGATCTTTAAACATTTTGTTGTAATATTTGACTTTGTCTTGTCAAGCTGATCTTTGAAATTTTCTGTTCAGCTCTTTTGCCTCCTCATGTCTTCCATTTGCTTTAGCATCTCTATCTAGAGAGCAAGTTTCAGTTTCTCTTCTGACATCCATTTTGATCTTTTCCTTCTTTCTTGTCTTCTTAATGAGTTTTTGCTTTCTTCATGTATGATGTTCTTGATGTCATCCCACAATTCTTCTGGTCTTCTGTCTTTAGTGTTTAATGTATCAAATCTGTTCTTCAGATGATCTCTAAATTCAGGTGGGATATAGTCAAGGTCGTATTTTGGCTCTCATGGACTTGTTTTCATTTTCTTCAGCTTCAAATTGAATTTGCATATGAGCAATTGATGGTCTTTCCCACCGTCTGCCCCTGGCCTTGTTTTCACCAATGATGTGAAGCTTTTCCATTGTCTCTTTCTGCAGATGTAGTCAATTTGATTTCTATGTGTTCCATCTGGTGAGGCCCACATGCATAGTCATCTCTTATGCTGTCTAAAGAAGGTATTTGAACTGAACAAATCATTGATTTTGCAGAATTCTATCATGTGTTCTCCAGCATCATTTCTATCATCAAGGCCATATTTTCCAACTACTGATCCTTCCTCTTTGCTCCCAACCTTTACATTCCAATTACCTGTAAATATCAATACATCTTGATTGCATGTTTGATCAATTTCTGATTGAAGAATTTGGTAGAATTTTTCTATTTCATCCTCAGTGGCTTTAGTGGTTGGTGTGTAAATTTGAATCATAGTGGTATTAACTGGGCTTTCCTGTAGGCGTATGGATATTATCCTATCACAGACAGTATTGTACCTCATGACTGATCTAGATATGTTCCTTTTGACGATGAATGCAACACCATTCCTCTTCAATTTGTCATTCCCAGCATAGTAAACCATGTGGTCATCAGATTCAAAATGGCCAATACCAGTCCATTTCAGCTCACTAATGCCTAAGATATTGATATTTATGTGTTCCATTTCATTTTTGACAACTTCCAATTTTCCTAGATTCATACTTTGTACATTCTGTGTTCCAATTTTCAATGGATATTTACAGCTGTTTCTCTTCATTTTGAGTTGTGCCCCATAAACAAATGAATGTTCCGTGGGCTTTACTTCATTTGCATCATCATGGTCAACTCTACTTTAAGGAGGCAGCTCTTTCCCAGTCACATTTTGAGTGCCTTCCAACCTGAGGGGCTCATTTTCTGGCACTATATCTGACAGTGTTTCTCTGCTATTCATAAGGTTTTCAGTAACTAAATATTCTAAAGTAGTTCTTCACTCCTTCTTCCTAGTCTGTCTTTGCCTGGAAGCTCATCTGAAACCTGTCTACCATGAGTGACCCTACTGGTATTTAAAATACCCACTGCATAGCTTCCAGAATCACAGCAACTCACAAGCCACCACAGTATGACAAACTGACAGACGAGTGATGGGTACCATGTATTAAGTAAGTATTAGGTACTGTTTTTAGTGAAAGAAAAATAAGTAAATAAACTGCATCAACTCTCTACTTCATTTTGTGTATCTACATTTTGTCATATTCAGATTCTGCAATGAATTCTGCAACAGACTTCAAGCTGAGCTAATATTTGGCAATAAAGAACAGTTTCAGTAGCAAGCAACCAAAGCCACAGTATATAATGCATTAAGAACAGGTGATTATGGATAACCAGACAAAGTTTTCCAAAATCACCTCTGAAATAAATAGTACATTAGAATTTTTCATTGTTGGCAAAATTCTGTGTCACAAATTAATTTTATATTATTATTTTTTCCATGAATCTTATATGTAATTTCTTTGGAAAAATGAGAAAAGTAACATATTAGACAGTCTTATATGGTTAAATGTTAAGGTGACTGTTGCTGGTTACATTACTAAATTGTGTGAATTCTATAGTAATTGGTAAGCAAGCCATTGTAGCATTTACTTCAGGTAAGATATAAGAGAAAACAAATATTTGTGCTAACAGTACAAATAACGATCAAAATGCTTTCATATAAGATCAGAACAATAAGAATCGAATAGTCTATAACTAAAACTGGAAAAATGCTTTAAACATGCTCCCTTACCTGTGTATACAATTTTTACTCTCAAGATACGCCATTCCAGCAGCAGCATCTAATGAAAATTTCACCAACTGTTTGAGTTTTAGCTCATCTTTCTTCCTCCTCAGATAAGAGAGGAAATCACCTCCTAGAAGAATTAACAGATGAACAATGAGACATAATGATGACAAAAGTCACATTTAACATGATAACAGATACCAGACAGAATAAAAAACATTACACATTTTGCCATGCTTTTTGCCCAATTTGTTTGAGGTGAGGATAACAGAAAACATAAAAGCAATATGTCCTATTAGAAAGCAGATACTAAAAACTCTTCTAGATATAGTATAAGCACATTAACAATGCCATAGTATATACTACTCTGTTTATAATGATATTCAACCAAAGTTTTACTTTTCCCTGTCACAGTTTTTCACCAATTTGTGAACTCTGATATCAAAGTTATTATGAGAACTTGTGAAGTTACTAAATTCAGTAATTGCTGCTCTAAAAAGGATTATTACCAATACCAATGCAGCCGATAATAGTACAGTTGTATTATTACTGTTATGATTTTGATGAGATTTAGTTGTTGACCCAGACTGCATTTTTAAGCACCAAATGGATTCCAGTGGAATTTGGAAAATGTCCTTAACGAGCATGGTTTAAGATAAATGTAATGTGAGTCACATAATAACTTTAAATTTACTTTGTTGTTGTTAAGTGCTGTTGAGTTGGTTCCAACCCATAGTGACCATGTCAAGATTTTTTGAAGAGTGGCTGGTGAGTTTGAATTGCGACCTTGTGGTTCAAACCAACCTTGCAATAAAGTGATTATCCTACAGCGCCACAGCAGGACTCCATGGTTTGATTAGCACTCCTTTTTAATTGTTTAATTTGTAATGTATAGTTATTATGTATTGAATTGTGTTCCCTAAAAATATGTTTTGTAAATCCTACCCTCTCCAGTTGCTTCTCAGAAACCCTATACAGGATCACTATGAGTCAGAACCAACTCCATGGCACTTAACAACAACAAAAACATGCCTGTTTTTGTATCTCATCTGTGAATGAGTTGTCTTTGTTATGCTATGAGGCAGGACTAGTGTAGGATATGTACTGAGCCAATTGAGATTTAAAAAAAAAAGAGAGAGAGAGCCTTGACAGTTTAGCAAAGCAAAGAGATGCCATACCACATGAAGATCACCAGAGTCACAGAAGAAAAGCTGAAAAGATACAACCACCTTTTCCCAGAGCCAACAGAATGAAAAAGCCTTCTTCTAGAGCCCCACACAAAAAACAACAACAAAAGTCAAACCCACTGCCATTGACCATATCTGGAGTCCTATCCTGGGTGGTGCTGTAGGATAAACACTGGACTGCAAGTTCAGTTTGAACCCCAAGGTTGGTGGTTCAAACTCACAAGCTGCTTCTCAGAAACCCTATACAGGGTTGTTATAAGTTGGAACCGACCTGACAGCACTTAACAATAACAACAAGTAGTTTTATCTAAGGTTTCTAAGACTGTAAATCTGTGCAGGAGCAAGCGACTCATATTGTTCCCAAGGAGGAGCTTGTGGGATTAGCAGAGCAACATCTAACCCACAGCACCAACAGGTCTCCTTTCACCTACAGCTGGCACTCTGAATTTGGACTTCTAGTCTCCTGGGGGAAAATACATTTTTGTTAAAGCAACCCACTTGCAGTATTTCTATTATAGCAACTCCAGAGACCTAAGACATTAGTATTATGTAAATGTTCTTTAGAAATATTCATGCCTACTTTCTCTTTCTACTAGGCTCCCAGATATTAAGCCAAATATTTCCAACAGGGCTAAGCATCTTAATTGCATTTCCTGTTTTGTTTTGTTTTTAACCTCTTCACCAGGGATCTGGCTTCCTTAAATAGAAAAGCTCTAGAGGTGAAGACTTAATGACTTTTTCTTTAATGAGAAAAGCTAAAAAATAAACACCTGCCTAACTCCTTTCATAATGTTCTCTTACTCTAACCTCTTCTATTATTCACAAGTCAAGGGTCACAGGAATTTAGGTGGGCCATTTACAAAATCACTAAGTAATATGCTTTTAAAAAAAGTTCAGCAGTGTCAGATAAATTGTTTTTTCTGTTCTCTTTAAAAGAATATTAAATGTATTATATTTCTAGGATGATTATTAAAATATTTCCTATCAAGTTTAACTTAAAACGCTGACCAAAACATGTAAATATAAGAGTAGATAGCAAAAAAAAAAAGAGTAAATAGCAAAATTAACCACTACCTTCTCACCTTCTCACCAAAAATGTCTATCAAAATGGACTTGAAATCAATATTTACTTCAAGTTATTATTTGAACCAGTATTTATACATACATACATATAAATTTTATTTTTCAGATATCAGCTAGGCTGCTTTAAGGATGCTGCTAGCTGTATTTCTTTAAACACAAACCTGTTTTTTCTTCTACAGCTAATAAAAACTTTCAATATTCTTCTCAAACACCATAATTCAATAATTCATAATTCTATGGTCTTCCTTATTCAATGTTCTACTTTAAGTGCATATCACGTGAATAAAAATACCATAGCTTGGGTAAGGTGCACGTTGGTGCTCAAACTGATATCTTTGTTCTTGAACAATTTAAAGAGAGCTTTTTGCAGCAGCTTTGACTAATGTAACAACAACATTTGTTATTGACTGCTGTTTTCATGAATGCTGATTGCAGATTTAAGCAAAATGAAGTCTTAGACCACTTCAATCTTTTCTCCATTTATCATGATGTAATAAGGACAAGTCATAAATGATCTGCATTCCAGTTATATTAAAATGTCCCTGCATATCCACGCTGATGAGAACATTGAGCATGAATGTGAAATGATTCTGTTGAACAGGTGAGTGACAGTGGATTATGTGGCAAATCCTTCGCAAATCAGCCATGGCTCTGCCATGAAAGACTTGGGTTCAAAACTTTGTGTGAAATGGGTACTGAAACAACTCATGGAAGAGCATAAGCAGAAGTGTTTGGACATCTGCAACCAAAATTTGGACAGATACTCAAAGGAAGGAAAACAAAAAAACTTTTTTTAAAACGCTACTCGTGATGAGACATGTATACATCATTATGAGTCTTGAGAATAAACAGCACAGTATGGACTGGAAACATTCTCAATTGCAGACCAAGAAAAAGTTCAAAAGTCAACCATCAGCTGGAAAAGTGATATGTAGTTTTCTGGGGTTCTCAAAGGCCAATACTGGAACACTATCAGGAAAAAGGTTCAACAACCAACAGTGCTCCTTACAGTGAGATGAAACCTAAATTTGGGATTAAATGCAGAGGGCTGCTATTGTTTGTGATCTTGCATGACAATGCATGTGCACACATTTCTACCCACACTGTTGACACTCTGCAAAAACTTCATTTTTAAGTGTGAAAGCATCCTCCCTATAGTCCTGATCTTGCTCCACCTGACTTTCACCTGTTTGGTCCCCTGAAAGCAATCCTTGGAGGATGAAGATTCACCTCTGATGAAGTGTATATGGTATAGTGGTGCATTCGCAGCTTGAAGCTCAGCCTAAAACATTTTTCAATAAGGGAATATGAAGGCTTGTTGACAGATGGACAAAGTACTGGAAAGCAAGTATATTATGTCAAAAAATGGTGTATTTGCCTTTTCTAAAGTTGATTAAAATAAATTCTACAGCCAGAGTGTGGATAATTTTTTAATCACCTTTATATTTATTGGTCCAGTTTTGAGAATTTTTGTTTCTTTTCCACTGAAGTGCAATCCATACTGAAGGCTATAGTCTTTGATCTTCACCAGTAAGTATTTTAAGTCCTCTTGGTTTTCAGCAAATGATTTTCAGCAAACAATGTTCCATCATTTGCATACTGCAGGTTGTTAATGAGTCTTCCTCCAATCCAGATGCCACGTTTTCTTCATATAATCCAGCTTTTCATATTATTTGCTCAGTACACAGGTTGAATAAGTTTGGTGAGAGGATACAATGCAGGTGCATATCTTTCCTGATTTTAAACCTTTCACTATCCTTTTGTTCTATTCTAGAGGCTGCCTCTTGGTCTGTGTAAAGAAAGGTTCATTATAGCACAAATAAGTGTTTTCGAATACTCCTTCTTTGCAATGTTATCCATAGTTTATTATGATCCATATAAATCAAAAGTCATTGCCTAATCAATAAAGCACAAATAAACATTTTGCTGGTATTCTCTGCTTTCAGTCAAGATTCATCTCATGTAAGCAATTATAAACATAGCTCCATGTCCTCTAATGAATCTGACTTGAGTGTCTGGTTGCTCCCTGTTGATGTGCTGTTGTAATGATTTTTAAATTCTATTAAGCAAAATGTTACATGCATGTGATATTAATGATAGTTTGATGATTTCTACATTCTACTGGGTCATCTCTCTTTGAAATGGGCAAAAATTTGAAACTCTTCCAATTGACAGCCAAGGTTGCTGTCTTTCAAATTTCTTGGCATAGGTGAATGAGTGCCTCTAGTGATGCACCAATTTGCTGAAATATTTCAATTTGTATTTCATCAACTCCCAGTGTCTTGTTTTTCTCCAGTGCCTTCAATGCAGCTTGGATTTCTTCCTTTAAGTACCACCGGTTCTTGATCTTATACAAACTCTTGAAATGGCTGAACAGTGGCCATTTCTTTTTGGTACACGGACTCTGTGTATTCCTTCCATCTTCTTTTGATCCTTTCTGTATTCTTCAATATTTTGTCCATAGAACCGCACTCTCGAGTAGGTTCTGACTCATATCAACCTTGTATATGGTTTACAAAGAGCAACTGGAGGGTTTGAACTGCCGACCTTTTGGCTTACAGTCCAGTGCTGACCCTATAATGCTACACCAAGATATAACCTTTGGGGGGGGACTCAAACCCCCAACCATTCAGTTAGCAATTAAGTATGTTAATCACTGGTATCAAACAGAGACCCCCATGGGGAAGGCATATGAATACCAGCAAGGATATTCAGGCCACTGAAATACAAGGAGATGCTTAAAGGGTCAGAGAAAGTTTCTTATGTATTTGACAGAAGGATCAGAAAAGAAGTACTCTCTGCAACTGGAACCAAACAAGGGACATTGGACTTAGGATGAAGCTATCATCATGCTGAATAG